TTTTTTTTTTTTTTTCCATTGTTACGATGCTTAACCACATATTTAGATATACAAACTTTTTTGGAGAATGACAAGAATTCAACTTCTCAGGATTGGAAAAAATGTGACTCGCCACCAAAACCAGGAGATTTGGAACAATGAACAATTTGTGAATGTTTTATACATTTAGTCCAAATTAGTGTGAACAGGCCTTAAAACCGAAGCAGTGTTGCAGATCCTACCGTTGTCATGGTAGTGTCGTCCTTTCTGGGAGTGAGCTCCTGAAAGATGCGAAGGCTATAGAAGCCAACCACAGATGAGACCAACAGATAACTGTTCAACAGTTAAGACTAACACAGTTGTTTCAGTCAAAACATTCACTAACATTTCCCTCTAGAACACACTCGCAACAATCATAAGCAAACAACTTTGAGTCCCTTCACTAAACACACACAATCTGTGATCAAACACTAGACTGGAGCTTATGCAGCATTAGTGTATCACACACAGCAAAGGATACAACATGAGAATGATTTCAATAACCGCCTGGGCAACTCCAAATGTGGATAAGGAGGCATTGCCAATATCTCTCTCCTGCAGAAACAAATAGTGAAAGTTACAGTCAATGGTTATTTTCATAAACTGATTTTTTCCCCCCCAAATAAAATTTGGCTTCAAAATATGATCATTTTTTGCATGTCTCTCAAAGGCACCAGTTGAGGTTCTGGACTGTGGTAATACTCTTACATGGAGTAAGTGCATGCAGTGGACGTGTTTTAGCGACGTGCCCAATGCAAAGGCTCCTGTTACAACCGAAGCTGTGTAATCTAAATAAGACTACAGTGTTGACACCTCAGTGCTTCAGGCAGTGAGAGCAGAAAAAAGCGGCAGAAATATTTGGAGCTGTTCTGAGTGAATGCTATTATGAAGAAATAAAACATATAAAGCTCAGATTAGTGAAGTTTCCCTTCTCACCAATGAGGACAGACAGAGTGAAATTGGCGAAGTAATGAATGGAAGCAGATGAAAGAAATCTTTTTAAATTCACCGCCGCTCACACACGCATAATATGTGAGCAGGTGTTCAAACAAAAAAGAAAAAGAAAAAAAAAGGCAATGGTGCTCTTACAGTAAGAGGCTGCTCAGAATGAATGGCTGCCAAAAATTAAGAGAAAAATGTGGAAAAAAAAACAACAAAACAAATGCGCTGGCAAACAACGTTTTTCAATCTCAGGCCTTTAATATCTTTTGAAGTCACTGATGTGATCTGAATGTTTGGATTGGAATTTTTACAATAAAAGCCAACATTTATTTGACAATTTATCAATGTAAAACAACAGTAGTCTGGCCTTGACAAGTAAAAAAAATAAATGAAAAATAAAAATCAATCATCACTCTCATTCTAACGATGTGTATTTGACAGTAGACCAATTCAAAATCAACAGAGCATATAAAAATATTTATGATGATCTTTCTAACTGGATTAGATCAAATCTGAACCAGATTTTATAATGTCAGTCTTGCTTCTTGTAATTGATGACAGGCCTGAAGAAAGTTTACATGTGATTGAAAACCAGAGGAGCTCAACTTAAACACCTGCTTGTAAAATATCATCAAACAGTCAAACTGTTATATAAGTGAACCATCCAAAAAAGTTAGCTAGAAGTTGACGCTGTAGTGCAGTGGGAAAAGAACTAGTAATGTGATCAAACATAAAACCCCATTCAACCCAAGAATTATATTATTGTATATATGTGTACAAAACATTGATCATATATGTGCAGTTTCACTCCACATCCATCCTTGACTGTCATTTAACTTATCATAAACTGACTGATACTATTGAACTGGACAGGCATCTCAAATCTCCTTTTTTTGCTCGGAGCTGTGTGAGGTGTTTGTTGGCGCTGAGTTTAAGGATATCGGTGTGTGTACCTTCCTTCAGGTGTGTCCTAACTACACTACATGTTTTGATGTGTCTCAGCAACCTCTGATGAAGGATAATTCATCAGAAAAACAGAAAAAAAGTACCAAAAAACTAATCATGGATAAGACAGGCTTTTTTTCATTCTCTCTTTTTTTTAGAAAGATATTTACCTACAGGTTAAGTGTCATCTGTTGACTCTTGTCAAAGGTTCAGAGGTCAAAAAGAGAAATACGATCTCTCTCGCTTTCCCTCTCATCTCGTTTCTCATTTCATCACTCCTTCTGCTCCATATGACACGTGAGATACGGGTTCAGATGAGGAACGGACATTAATGAGGCTGTTTTTAGCATCGACAATAATTCTGAATCCATGGGGAATGACAGCAATAAGACTTTTATTGCAGTCATTAGCAACAGTGCATCAGACAGCTTAATGCAAGCAGTGCCACTGCATTAGATCTCCTTACCTCACAGCCACAATTACGATGCCTTGCCTTATCTGACGGTCTCGGCGTTAACCTAGTTACCTTAACTCGCATCAATCTCTCTTAACCCTCAAACGTCCCTCATTTCCTGTTTACACTTAAGTCCCTTGGGGTCAGTATGACCCCAAACATTGAAATAGTAATTGTGAAAAATATATACATTTTTAATCATACAAATAATATATCACAAATAATATATCATTTTTTGTTTACTTCTCATCTATACATTAATGCTGTGTTTTGGGAGATATGAAGTACTTTTGTACCTATTTACCACAAAATTCCTCAACTACACCATTAGCTTGCATGTGAAATATAATTTTTTTATGAAAAAATCACTTAAAGGATGACCTAAATTTAATTAAAGTTGCTTCTGGATATTGATCTAGGTGTTAGGTGTAGAATTCTGCCATCTGCTGGTTAGAAATAAACCTAAACGGATTACAGTTTAGGAAAGAAATTGTTTTGACCAGCAGAGGGCCATAGAGAGCCATTCATTTTACTGGATGTGGCCAACTGCTTCTATCACAACTTTTGTGATACATTTTGTGAATTTATGTATATATAAACATTAGAAAAGGTATAAATGGTATAATTTTTTGTGATTTTTGATGCATTTTGAAATGTCTGTTTTCAAAAAATGCCACAGAAATTTGACAGAAAAATGCCACATAAGACACACCTAAAGGACAAGACTACAGTGAGATTGTAGTTGCATATTATTGATTTTAATGAACCAAGTGTAAACAAAATAAAAATAAAATAACTTTAGAATGTGGAAGAACTTAAAAATGTAAATAAAACCAACAGCAATTTGCAGAACTGTGTGCATGTGCATGCATTAGGTCTATCTCAGAGAGAGAGAGAGAGAGAGAGAGAGAGAGAGAGAGAGAGAGAGAGAGAGAGAGAGAGA